ACATAAAGGACACTAACAAAAATGCATAGGAATATATTTCAAAATATTCTTCAAGACACACACACACAGAGTTCTAACTCCACATTGTTTCCCATTGTGGAGTTAATAGTGGGTTCCATTCTAAGTAGAAGAAAATTTCCAAAAAAAAGGGTACCGAGCTTGCAACTTCATTCTCAAGAAGACGGTCATTGCTGCCAAAGGCGCTTTAACCAAGTGCTAAGTGAAGAGTCTGAATACTTATATAAATAGGACATTTCAGTCTCTTTTTTTAAATACATTTAAGGAACACTCAAAACCCTGTTTTCATTTTATCTTTGTGGAATATTGTGTATAGATTGATGACAAAAATCATTTGAATCCAATGAACTGAAACTATGAAGTACCGTATACTTATAAATAACCCAGTTGTCAAAATTATGTCTTCGTCTAACACAGCAAATTCAGCACAATTTGAGAAACTCCAGGGAAAAAAGCAAACTGATCTTTTACCAGCATCAAACTGAACCAACGGGAGTGAAAAATAACTCCTATTAGTCATGCTGTCAGTCCCACACATCTGATCTTATCAATATGAAATATAACACCGCTGCAGTTATGGCTTGTTCGGGTGAATTTCTCCTCCCTGTGGACTCACAGATGGCAAACAAAGCAGAAACAGTGTAACCCAAAAATGCTAATAGTGAAGGAGGCTCTCCCACCACCGGCTTTGAACACATGCCTTTCCATAAAGCCTCCTCAATGACAGCAAAATAAAATCACAACTCACACATCAAATACTACAACCCCAAAGCAGAAGATGTTGGGATGGTATGTAAAATCAAAATTAAAAATGAAAATAGTGATGTGTAATCATCTGTGTCCTGTATTACACTGAAAACAATACAGCAGCACATTATTTGATGTGACGCTTCATCAACTTTATTCTTTCTTCAAAATAAACACACACTTCAATTCTGATACCTGCAACACATTCCAAACAAAGCTGGGACAGTAAAGCATTTACCATGGCGTGATGTTGCCATTCCTTTTCACAACACTTAAAAGACATTTAGGGACTGAGGGCACCAAGTGATTAAATGGGTCAGATGTCATTTTGTCCCATTCTGTTTAAGGTGCACAGCAGTCCTGGGTCTTTTTTGACAATTTATGTTTCAAAATGCTCCACACATTCTCTACTGGGGACAGGTCAGAACTGCAGGCAGGCCAGTCCAGCACTCACACCCTTTTCCTCCACTGCCAGGCCTTGGTAATGTGCAGTATGAGGTTTTACATCGTCATGTAAGAAGACATTTGGTTTCTTTGTTTTTCATTATTTTTTAAATTTGTATTCATCTTGTTTAAGCTCTGAACAGTCTTACAGCTCTTCCTGAATTTACCTGATAGGGGCTGTGTGGTTGTGTTGCGTCCACCAGGACTTTGGTGGGTTGAGGTATCGACACCACAGTTCCCAGTCAAAGCCTTGAGCAGACAGTGGGTATTCCTCGATCTCGAAGGTGTCATATTTGATGTTGTCAAAAGAGGGAGACACCACCCGAGTCCGGTCCTCCTTTATTCGCTGCAGAATAGGTTCTGCCCTGTGGAGCGACAGAGCACAGATAGAATGTGTGTACAAGATGACTGCAAATTAATTCAGGGCTCAGAGCTCCAAGCAAACACTCTAGAAGAAACCACACAAAACATCATTTTAGACACACTCTTTTTTTCAGCTTGCCACTATTTTATCCCATAATAAAGAAATTAATTTACAGTGTGTTACAACCTGTCGGTTTTCAAATTCCAGTTATGGCAGTCCAAGCTCATTGAACCAGCATGTTAGATGTTTGGATCCAGTTGAGCCTGTCTCAACCAATGTTTTGCGCTGGAAACCTTTTGAGTCTTTTAAGTTGTATGTACAGTATAACATGTACAGGTTAGATTCATAATGATTTGCATCCTCTTGGGTCTTGTTTGAGTCTAATGCAGGTGGTGTGTTTGAACAGATGAACACACCCAGACGGTAGTGGAGACCAGCATGAGACTAAATAATTCTTCTTTTATCTCTTACAATTCCCCAGAAACACAACTCCAAATGCACAATATTGTGCATATGTTGGCAGTCATTTGCTGACATTTTTGCCATAGCAATAATAAAAGCCAGATACAGTAATGGTAGTGTATTTATCCTTTTGTTTTGATTTTTTTTTTTATTTGACTCCATACTGCTAGAAATAAATTGTGACTTAAAACATTCTTTGTTACAATGTATGTTTTTTTAACTTATGGTAAGCATTAAGAGTAGAGTAAGATTAAAAGTGTCAACAAAAATACAAGAACAGGGCAAATAATGATCAAAAATGACAAAGAGCAAGGTTACCTGAATAAAAGAACATTTCAAAAAGGAGGGAGTGAAATAAGAAAGTAAGGAGGATTGTCAGGAAGCTGAGGAGTGAGTCTGAAGTCCTGACTGGATTAGCAAACTCAGTCCATGAGTAAATAGTGAGCATGGAGCTGAATCAAGAACTAAAGGAGTGTTGACTAGGGCTCCTCAGGGAAGGTTGACGGGAATTGGTAAGAGTAGAATGACACTGACTGACATAGAACTTCCTGGAGGGAAGCATCCTAATCAGTCTTGCAAGCTATTTCCAAGATTTTGAATTAAATTTGGGTGGACGTACAGGTGGCAAAATTCAGAGCTGCCTAGGGGAATGTTAGCTGCAACATGTGGACTTAAGAGGGCTAACAGAGATCAGAAACTTTAGAGTCCACACAGGTGACAACTCGAGCCTGGACTACAAACTAAGCATAGTCCTTGATCAGGTAATATGGGATTCAGTGGACACTGACTGCAAAGATGCAGAGCTATGGCTGTGAATATGGCTTTGCATGTCAACTGGCTCTTAAAATTCACACAGGGTTTGTTGGCAACCTGGGCAGGAGTCACACAGGTGCTGTCAACACCCCCTAGTTACTGTG